AAGGACGCTCTTTAACTTGTCTTGTGTCCATGCTTGCCGCTAAATACGGCGTCCTTTTCAAGGGTTTGAACGTCAACGTACAAGCGGGATTTTAAGCCATTCTAACTGGCATCGTCTTTTGTTATTAACACTCGCGTTATATGTAGCTTAAAAGCGAAATAATTGGGGAGCTGCAAAATAACGATTGAGATTGGGGTGGAATAAGGATGCACAACAGATAGACATCGATTACTTGCGTTACCCACAAAATACTAAGTGAACCCGCAAGTTGGTAGTATTAATTGTGCTTTCACTATCGAAGCAACAACCAAACGAATTATGGGTCAGAGTAAACGGGCGCAATTGCAACTTTCGCGACAACTTGGTATTTTGGCGAAACGTCCTCGGTTATAACTTTTATTTTGGGACAAGTCGTGCCATATATAATTTTTCTCACCAACAGAATTAAACAGTTATATTCTAAAAAGATGCAGAAAAAAATAAACATGACATGTGTGACTCTGTGATTCTGTTGATGGGTGTGTCAGAGACTGTGTTATTTACATTTATAGTGATACTAAGTGCATTGATGCCTTCTTTGATATCACCATTACCGTACAGTAAATCAAGGCGACAGGTTAAAGGTGCATGCCAACACGGAAGCTAACCCACCTACTCCTAAGATCAATTAAAGTTTTATTATAGAGGAACTATAATGGGGGTACACCCATATATCCAAGACTCGCATGGATCCGCCTAAAAAGGTTATACCTGAGACTGATCTTATATATAAAGTACAAGAACGTTGTAAACGCGGTGGATTGTGTCGATACTCCACTGAGTGTTGCTTCTCTGGACATCAATGTGATTGGAATACTTTCAATACCTTCCAATCACGAATGTCTTGAAGATCACAACTTTAATTTGTGGTCTGGTTTATACCGCTGAAATTTATATTAGCAGACGAAGATCCACGAACGAATAAAATCAATATGAAATCTGCCTCTGGGTCTAATTAAAGCAAAACACAATTGCAGAACACATATCCATGATGCTGTGTAACAAAAATATTCAAGTAAAAATACAGTGTTATAATAGAGATTGACAAAATAATAAAATATGCAATACTACCCATCACACTTCGATTGCAGTTTTTTTTTAGATGATATTCAAACCTGAACGTTCTCTTTCACTCTGTTTAAGCACACTACATTGAATATTTTTTATAAAAACTTATTTTGCAACTTTGCAAAGTACATATGGTAAAGTCTATAATTGTCCTAATGAAAAAAATCATGCCATCATACAATACATTATATTGATAGCTCCAATAGGTAAGAGGTTCCAAAATTAAGATAACAATTGTATCAGCAAAATAAGAGTGGACTCGGAAAGTCTACCAATATTATAGGCAATCTACGTCAGTTAGTCGTTATGGCGTTTACATTTAACTCAGGACGTTGCTATCCTTGTATTCCTATGTTATAGCCCTCGCAAAAATGAAAACTGGAAGGACTATTCGCGGATAAAAATAATATATGACCTAAATCAACAGCACATACATGCTTGGCGATACACATGGCAAATTATGTTCACTCAAATAAAATTTTGTGAAGAAAAAAGTATCTTTGCACTATCTTGACAGGCAGAATATTTTGAATTAATGAGCTGAACATCGTAATTGTAAATTCATGAGTTTGTTGCTTGATATATTATTTGAATTTTTTAATAAAAAAAACACGAAAGGTTCATTAAAAAGATTAGTACAACATGTTTGGGCAAAGGCTTCGAACGTTATACAGATGCCACGAACATATGATGGTAAATGCAATAATATATAATGTCATTCATTTATTATTGGTGGGACTGCCAACAACTCTTACCATATTATAATCAACGACAGTATTCAAGCATTCTAACAATTTTAAAATTATCGTTTCTGATTTCCATATCAGGTTTTAATTATAAATCAATATATTCTCAAATTTCCGTGTCTAGATCAATTACAATCTCAATTACGGAAATGATCGTCAATCAATGCGTCTGTTGCATTATCACAACCTCCTTCTGGCTGGTGTATTGGTTGCTGAACATGACATCAATCTGAAAGAATAATTTCGATTAATTAAGAGAAGAATGTGATATTTTTCGTATAGATTAGTAGGTATGTAGGAATGGAGAGAGAGAGAGAGAGAGAGAGAGAGAGAGAGAGAGAGAGAGAGAGAGAGAGAGAGAGAGAGAGAGAGAGAGAGAGAGAGAGAGAGAGAGAGAGAGATGTGACATTTAAAATAGTACGATAGTTTGAGTAACAAATAATTATCTGATAATTTTATTAAATTCTCATCGCTCCCATTTAACTACTGTACAGTAATACCCTAATCACGATATTTGAAATTGGGATACAACGATTAAATGGAGATGATAAATACTATCATTGTATTTCGTATACAGTCGCTCTTCGACCGCATCCGTATCAATCTACTATTTCATTAACCTGAATTTATAAAAACAAAATACACATTCGGGTGCCTAATTGAAATAATCGTAATTGTTAATGCATGTTAGCCGACACGAATAAATATTCAAAAATACCCCCCCCCAAAAAGGTTTTAAATAAGTGATGTATTTAAATGGAGGTATAGAAACTCGAAACTCAAAACATGAGATTTGATTAAATAAATACAGGAAAACATCCACCGACTATGGCTTGCGATATTTTTTAAAACTACGATCGTTTTAAGCAGGCAATCATATAAAAGAGATAAAATAGCAGTCGAAGGTGTACGAAATTGGGGCCAAAAATCAGAAGACATTTCTATTACTGTTTATAAGTCCAAACTGCAAAATTTAAAAATGAATTATGTTTTAGTCAAGTTATATGGAATTCTATAAACATTTTTTTGAAAAATTATTTACTTCATACAGCAGAATTTTTCTGTAATTTTTATTGAGATGTAATTGTACAATATATACTTAAAATGCAAATTCCGAACGAAAGAACGCACATAAACATCTCAAATGATTACTGTTACGACTTTATGATAATAAACTTTCTAACAGACAAAAACAAAACCTGCACATTAGTAAAATCAACAAATAATTATTTTCCTATAATGCTCATGAAACTTAAAAGGACACGAATGGTATAATAAATTATATAACGATTATACCTGTTATATAACAAGTAAAGAAAACCATATAATGTTCCGAATTATTTCAAATAGTCCTGAATGTCCTGATGTACCAAAATGACTTTATCCAGAATGTATTTGAATGACTTCTCAATTATCCCAAAGTAGCGTTTTAATTTTATAGTCAAGAGCACTTCCTAACTCCAGTGAATAATTTAAATAAAATATTCCTCTCAAATTATATCTTAACACAAATCTGCTCATATATTCTCAATTATATTGATATTAAAACAGCAATTAAGCCTTTTATTACAAAAAACCGTTTATGTACAGCCTAACCTGACCTGACTTTAAACTATGCACAATAAAAGACATATACATAACAGTGTAGATAAATATATTGTGTACATGTTACATTCCGCAAAAAAAAGAAAGCACACATAACACTAATGGAAGTTTCTATTCAGTGCGCAGGACTGTTAATCCTCAAGACCGTGATGTAATGGAAATAGACATGTCATCATTTTATCAGCCGATATTATGATCATACATCCAAGGATCAATGCATTCGGAACAGGTTGAGATTAATTTTCAAGAACAATATTTGCTCGAACTGCTAAATCTTGAACCTGTTTTTGTGTGTTTTACATTGGGCTTTACTCCTAAACCTATGTACACTTTATAATATTCATTCCCCTGTAAAATCGTAGCTGTTTAACGAAGTGTACCCATTCGTTCTGGTCTAATGCTTGTTTGCCAATTTAGAAATAAGATCCCGTATATATATATATATATATATATATATATATATATATATATATATATATATATATATATATATATATATATATATATATATATATATATATATATATATATATATATATATTCTGTCACAATATTTAAAATTATATGATATCATATATTTGTCAAGTAGAAAATAGAAAGAGAACTGAAATTATAATGTTTCGATGTAATCACTTCTTTTTTTAACTGCAAGAACTATTTCGCGGAAGTCACATATGATGTAATGTGGCATCTCATATTATGAAACACAACCAAGACATATAGTATCAGAGTTAATGTTAGATAAAAATTATTTTTAAGCATTCTAACATTTTAAGTCAAAATTATATTAAGCATTCCAAAATTTTAAGACAAACTTGCGCCGTTTAAGTTTAGTTTTAATTTGAAGAAAGAGAAGTCTAAAATAAAATTTGGTGTACAATACGATAATGATTTCGTTTTAATTTTTGTTCAAATAATTATGAATATGTATGTGGTTTCCTGGCTGTATAACGTTTCTCATGGCAAAAATATTGTTGGCAATTCTGTGCGTTCTTTCTCTTCAGTTTCTGGTGTGTATCATTTATGTACAAACACCGTACAGTTGCTGGCTGGAAAGGGAATACCTAATGAGGAAAAATGTTAGTAACATTGCTGATTTCAATTCTTTTAACAATTTTAAGAGTATTTAGTTTGTATGGTTGTATGGTGGTATCAGGGTTAATACGCTACTTCTTTGAGTCACAATTATCATAATAAAATCCCATTACACGGAAACAGACGGTGTTTCCTTGTTATTAACGCTGGCTGGTATTTAAATAGAAAAGTTTCGAATGGGCTCGTGAAATTGTGGCGTGGGAGACACATTTTTCCGAGGGTGGAAGCGGGATCTAATATGAAGCCAGACTCACACTTAGATATATGTCTGCAGAGTGACAGTTTATAGTGATTTCTAGTACTGGGGCATCATGCTGCAGACATGTAGCATGATGTCCCACCCGGTCAAATTATCCTGACACCAGGCCGACTAGTCTTAACACTAACCTCTTAACGCTGAGCGTCAAGCAAGGCAGCTGTTAGTACCATTTTTGAAAGTCTTTGGTATGACTTAACCGGGAATCGAACCCACCAGCTCCCACATCCAAGGCGGACGCTCTAACCACTAGGCTACCGGAGTGGTTACACACACACGCACACACACAGATATATCTTCATTTTCAATACGTTTCTAATCTAATTGGCGATAGTCTTAAATTGGCCGTAATAAGCAGCAGGGAGGGCGAACCCTACAAAATTTTGCGACAAAATCGATTAAAGCCTCAGAATGCCAAATGGAGCCTTCCTACGAAATCTCATATTTTAACCAAAAAAAAAATAAAGACCCCATTTGTAAAACGGAGCCGTAGCCATTTTGTCGTAAATATGTTGTCATAACCACCCTCAAATTGCTGCCATCTACGTCGCAAATATGTTGTCATCTCGCCCTCCCTGCTGCTGGTTAATACAAATTATTTAACCAAATATTTGATCAAGTCCAATACGATATCGTGACCGAGGGTCGTGTAAATTTATTGTTATAAATCCATATGGGACAGACTGAGCATGACTAAAGTAATTTTTAAATCCATTTAAGTCCATATCGGAACACCATGTCTGCCAAATATGTCGTAGCGTATGTGTATCAACGCCATTGAATACAGCAAGAATATTGCAGTTATCGCGAATCACTTTTGGAATTTGAGTGTATCGTTGAGTGACATATATCACATCAGTGTTTTTATGCCTACCTCGGGAAAATATTCTAGCAGGGTTCTTTTGATTATCTAACATTACATCATCGTACACTACAAGATTGTTTATGTCTCCATCGAGATCTTCTACTGATGGTGCATCATTAATATCAGTAATAAAGTCAATTACACTTTCACCTTTAATTTCTAATGCATTTTCATTATAATCTTTTAGCACTTCATAGCACCGTTGATCATCTACGGATGGGGCAACTAAATATAATTTATCCCACTTCATAAATCGCATTATCAAATTAAGCAGCAATTGTGTTTTACCCGATCCAGATGGTCCGATTATAATGGCACGGACAGAATTTGGAAGCGCTGCGTGGTGTTTCACCGGTTCTCTTCTTTTAGTCGCTGAAAAATCAATTATATTCATAACGCTATATATAAATTATGGATTTATATTGTGTTAAATGTAAACAGCGTACTGATACAACTGATCAGACAACCATTACAACTAAAAACAATAGACTAGCGCTTACTGGTAAGTGTGTAACATGTGGTACAAAAAATTTTAGATTTTTAAAAAAAAAGCAACTCGGAGGTGATATTGCCGCAAAACTTGGAAAACTCCCCGGAACCCATGGGCAAAATACCCTGGAGAAAAATACCTTCCAGGATATAGTTACTGTGGTCCCGGAACGAGATTAGATCTCAGACTTGATGATCAAAATCAGCCCCGGCCTGGTGAGTATCCGATAAATGCTATTGATAAGGCATGTCATGCTCATGATGTTGCATATAAAAGCAATAATTTGCAACAAAGACATCTCGCGGATGTAAAATTAATTCATGCGTTAAATGCTATTCCCGATAAATCCTTCAAAGAAAAATTGGCTTCATGGTTGGTCAAATCAGCTATGAAAGGCAAATTGGTGTTAGGTGCTGGTAATTAAAAACACTAGTGTTTTTATAGTATGGAATCTATTTATTATTCTCCGAAAGGATACTGGAGGGGTAAAGCAGCAATCAGTAAACTCGCTAACGCTTCAAAAGTGATAAAGTCCACTGCGAAAGATTGGTTATCCAAACAAGCTATATGGCAAATTTATCTACCACCGCCTAAACAAATTAATTATTCTCATTTTGATGTTACCGTACCCAATGAAGTTCATCAGGCTGATTTATTGTTTTTACCACATGACCATGGTTACAAATACGCGCTAACTGTAGTTGATATTGCGAGTCGATTTAAACAAGCAGAACCATTGAAAACAAAGTCAGCTTCTGAAGTCGCTTCTGCATTTGAAAGGATTTATCGACGAGGTCCTCTAAGATGGCCAAATCTATTACAAGTTGATCCTGGCAAAGAGTTTCAAGGTGCTGTTCTATCAACAATGAAAACTAATAATGTTACAATACGACGGGGACATACTGCGTTACATCGTGATCAGGCAATTGTAGAACGATTTAATCGAACTCTTGCAGAACGGTTATTTGGATATCAATATGCAAAAGAATTCATCCAAGAAAAACGATCTCGTGAATAAGTCCAAAGGTTACCGAGTGTAGTTGCAGCGTTAAATAACGAGATTACTCGAACTATTAATATGAAACCAAATATTGCAATAAAAAAAATATATACCCGAACAACCACAGCGGGTTAGCACTCAGCCACTTCTCAGTGATGTTACTGTGAGATATTTATACGAACCAGGAGAACTTGAAGGTGGTAAAAGAAGAGCTACTGATCCTATATGGAGTGTTACTACGCATAAAATTTCAACTATAACGCGATCAACTGGTAGACCTCCAATCTACAGATTGGATTCAACTGCACCACAGCGTGGTTTTACACGCGAACAACTACAAGTCATTCCGGACGATACTCAATTACCGCCATTTGGTCTTAACTAGCTCCATTACGTCTATTACACTCAAGACAGGTCAACATCACATTGTTTCTGACATGACCAAGATTGTTATTTTTTCTGTCTACGGTGAATTGTCGAGGGTCTTTATCCGAATACTGCCAGTGCATTATACAATTACAACTGGCGCAGTGATTATTCTGTTGCTCTTTTAATGCGATTATTACTTCAGCATCAATATCAAATTCTCGTTGTTTTTTTTGTCCTGCTGTTTGTAACCAGAGAGTTTTTTTATTAATGATGCTAATATCAGTGCTATTAACGTTTGCATTAAAATCATCATCAAAAACAATCCTTCGTAGTTGATTTATTCGTCGTACTCTGGACACTGCGAGATAGACTAAATTTGACCATTCAATGCGATTATCAACTATCCAAACAATTGTATCCGTGATGGTCAATCCTTGTGACGAGTGTATTGTTGTTACATAACCAAGCGTCCATGGTGATTTATCAGCGCATAATGCATCTTCTACAGCATTGATATCAACTAGCACAATATCATTTAACACTAGAATCTGTTTCTCCGTCTGGCCTGGAATTTCAACATCAATATTCTGCTTTCGTGTATCCAATGGTCTATAACACAACGGTACTGGAAACGTTGGAAATTTTTTCTTGTGTAGCTCAAACAACTTTTTCTGAAGTGCGTCTCTGACTATCTTTCTACTTGCTACTACAAAATCATTTTGTCTCCATGTTTCCCAAAAATCATTCATAGGTGTTGCAGAAATTATTTCACGCGCTACTTCACATTGAATTCTATCGGGTTGTAATCTAATTAGTTTTTTAAACTCACGTAACTGCTCATTGAGTGCTCTATAGTCAGTATCAATTTCTTCGTAATAATCAACAAATCCTTTTAACCAATTATGCGGACTTCTACCAACAAATGGTGGTGGTTGACCATGATCGCCGCTCAATATAACCTTTGTATTATTTTGCAATAACCAATCAAGAAACATTTTTAATACATCTTCTGAAACAGTACATGCTTCATCCCAAATAATAACCGAAGGAATAAATTTCTCAGCCATTCGCGCAGGAGTCCAAGTATCGCCCTTGTATCGAAAAAAACTATGATACGTGCAAGCTTCAACGGAAAATCCTTTGGATTTTTGGCGCTGTTTTATCTCTCTCGCTAGTCTATGGGTTGGTGTGAGTACAATCATGGACGTTCTCTCTCGATATAATTCTATCACACGTGTTGTCTTTCCAGATCCACCACAACCGTTTAAATAAACTGTTTTATATCTACAAATTGGTTCTGATATTGGTGGTGCTTTAGACATAGAAAATCCTTCGGATTTTTCACTGATAGAATTATCGTTTCTCAGGTAACTGCTTTTAATCTCAACGTCTGCTGATTCAGAATAATCGCATTGTATTTCACGTTTAATTCGCCATGTTCCCCAAGTCTCTTCGCTATTAGTAAATTTAGTTACCTCTTTGATATATTTTTTATCGACATACATTGAATCAATTGCAACTCTAACTGCTATACTAGGAAATCTATTTATCATTGCAAATAAATTGATAGATGCATAACCCAGCATAGAAGCCCTCAAATGTAGATATGCAGAGCTTTCTCCATCACTGTAAGTAACAATTCTACCTAACTTTGTTTTATTGGACAAGAAGGCTGTTTTACAATTTGCGTATCTATTTTTCTCTACTGCATCTTTAATAACGAAGTCGTATTCGGCATCATCTATAATCAATCGTGAGGATTGTCTTTTAAAGTTAAATTTTTTTCCACCTTGTGTAAATTTACCGATTATTCTTCGGCCGAGATCCTTTGCTTCACTATTGCGTTGATTAAATATTTTTTTTTTGACCATTCAGTGATGTACTCCTCGTCAGCATCAATATGTTTTCTAGACTTATCGATTATACTATCAAGACATTCTGGTTCTGGTAACCAGATTTGGTTTGTTTTTGATATGAGATAATCGCTTCGCTGACAATCAACGAAACTAACATTTTACAATCAATCATATATCGCAATAACACTATTGGTAACCACATCCTTTCAGCCATGTGTCTACCAATCCAAACATAACAACATGGATGAAGTCCTTCAGCGAATTCAAATGATACTACGCGATCAAAACCGGTCAAATCAAAATCAGGCAGTGGTCCATTAATAGCAACGCGAGTCATTTCATGTGTGGGATGTCCAAACCGTTTAAAATACTCACCAGCGAATCCATATCCTAGAAAACTTCCTGGATAACAGGCAACGATATCAACTGGTATCATACTTTCACGATTGTACTTAACGTTCCATAGACCGTCATGATAATATTCCAAACAGCTGGATTGAACATCCTGTAAAAACTCTTTTCGTGTTGGTTTCCAATTATTTTTCTTTCTTGCAAAATGAGCTGCAACCGATGGAATTGTAAAACAATTTGTAAGTAACTGTTCGTAATCGTCGGATTTTCCATTAAAAATGCTAGCGTTTTCACTGAGACTTATTGCTAGATTTTTCATCCTATTAT